TTAGACTCGCATTCCACACCAAAATGGATCATTAATCTCTGTTTTATGTCTGCTAATTGACTAACAAATGTTTATATTGAAGAATATATGCTAGGGATAATATAGCATCAACAATGATGTGCTTTGCAAATTTCACCATGAAATGTATGATGAGTCATGTGATCTACAGACTAGCATGATCATCGCTTTGAAGGGGCTGGATTGAAGCCCATTGCTGGAATCAGGAAATAAATAATGTAAATCTAGGCTGTTGTCTGTGGATGGATGAGGGAAAGAAAGAAGCCAACAATGTACAAGATCACAATACACAAAAGTTTGAATAACTACTGTTGTGAAAACAGTCCAGAATTAACAAAATACTAAAAAAGTCAGAAAATATTTGATTTTAAGGCTATGCCTGCTGAACTGGAGCACGTGAGAACTAAAAGGAGGACATGAGGTAATGGGATGTCTAGTAACCCTACTCGTGAAAATTCCATGGGGTTCAACTCTGGCCCAATTTCTGTGTGTACTGCAATTTGGCTGGCCATGATTCAGGGGGAGATTTTTTCCTCTCTGGCTCTGGCTTGAAATAACAAGAGCAGATCAGAAGAAAAAAGTCTTAGAGTCTATGGAAGCTGTGCCAAAGGACAGCCATAACAGCCCCTTGACCCAGAGAAGGACGGCCTGGGCAATTTCTCTGACCTGTTCCTCTGAACCCTTTTCTTTGCCCACATTTTATTTATACTCTTGTTGAAATGGCCCTCTGCTTTTCTGCTTGGCTAACACTGAGATGGCTTGCAAGAGTTTAATCAAACACAAAACCCTAACTGTAAAATCAATACAATGACACTCAAATATTAAAATCACTATCAATAAAACACCGTAAATGTGTTGCCAAGTTTGGAGTGTTGAGGAAGGCCCAAGGGCACCCTTATTTTTTGTTTTTTATCTTTTCCCAATTTTACTTCAAGGATTACAGATTACATGACTGCATTTTGAGATATTTGTAGACACCATATTCATTTTCTGATTATCCACATTGCGCCAGACCATGGAAGCTAGTGATTCTGTGTCAATTCACCATAACTGCCTGTGGTGTACAAGTCCCACCTCTTATCCCCATGGATTCTATACTATTCCATGCATTCTTGGATGATGAAGCCATGCTACCACTTTATGGATGATAGGAAATTGAAGATTTTCAAACTTTTTTAATTGCTGAAGAAATGTGATTGCAAGTGCTTTTGGAAGCTTAAAAACACACTGAAATCTTTCAGTTATGGATGGAGGTGGGGAAGAAAGCTGATATCTTCATGATTAATCAAAGAGTCAGCCTTCATAATGTCTGTGAGTTGTATGAGCATCTTCTGAATTTGAAAATAGCAAATGTTGCTACAATTTCTCATAGTCAGAAGCAATGATATGCAGATGATGCAAAACAATAGAGGAGGGCAAGTTCACCTACAAAATGACCACTGATTTTCTTCTTCCAAAATAGTGAGCTGTTAGTGGTTCTATGTTTAGGTGGTACAAATAATTTCTGATATTACATTTGACAGTCAATAAAACACAATGGGATAAGAGGACAGTTAGTGTTGGAGCTGTGTTTCCTATTCTATTTATTTATTTATTACATTGTGAAACATACAAACATACATAATACATTGTATTATTTTGACACAGTGGTATTTGTACAGAATTGACTAAAGATTATTAACACTCAAATGTTTTGATAATTTAGACCATTGATGATAAAAAGAGAGAGATTATATCACTATTAATTATGATTTAAAATGTCAAGGTTAATGAGCATAAGATTATTTAGGTTTTTCATCCAAAATCAAATATAGCATTAAAAAATCCATTGCAGCATCAGTGTATTTGTTGTACAATAAAGGCATCTCCACTGTATTGTTACTTAATATTATTTATGTTGGAAAAAAAAAAGAGGAAAGGATAAACAAAGCACATATGAGAAGGATTAAAATACAAAGGAAAAAGGGGAAAATAAGAGAAAGGATATTTGGTTTCTAACTTCTTCCTTTTTGAGCTTCTGCTAATTTACAATATTTATAAACATTTGCCCCCCACCAGAAGCCAAACTATAAATGTTTGTATTTGTTGTGCTGTGTGATATATTGTATACATTGGAACCTTTCTTGCTTAAATATGGTTAAACTTCCATTGGGAATATATATTGTTAATTTTGCCATTGCTGCATACTGTCAAAGTTTAAGTTCCCAGTCAGATATTGTTGGAATTGTATCTTTCTTCCTGTACTGGGCAAAATTTACTCTCACGACTGTGAGCATGTATCTTTCATTAAACAGCAGCCCTTGGGGAGATGATCGACCTCAAGAGACTATCTAGGAAGCAGATTTAAGTCAGGTTTAACTAATCAATGGACTTTTCTGTACTTGTACCTAACCATGGTAAAAACAAGCCCTGGCAACCTGTTTGTTCTGGGTTCCCATGTCATTGCTTTCATCTTCCCCCAGCCTATGAGCAAGGCAGGTTTCACTTGTCTCTTGATGGAGCCATGCTAAGATCATGTCCACCCCCTTATTCAAACCCATCCAAAGGCAGCCTGAAGATGAACTCTGCTAGGCTTGCCATCCTTTAATTTGCTGAAAGTCATCCAAAGTCCAGTGACAGCCAGTTTCACATCAGCCTCATTTTCTACCACTTAAGGAAAGGCAGGTAGCATCAAATCAGCAGTGGGAAAAGGCCCTGAGACAGTGTAAGAGTAAAGTAGGTAGGATGACAAATCAGAAGAAAATGAAAGTGACCTCAGAAGCCCTTATGAAAAAAATTATCATTGTGTAAGCAAGTACAGATTTTTGTACCTCAGAACAGAAGCTATTTTTCTATTGTGCTAATTCTTGTTATTGTTCAATAGCTCTGTTTTTTAACCAAAGAAAGAGAAAATATGTGCTTTTGATTGTTTAATGTATTTATGGATAAATAGCTAACAAATATGAGGGTGTTCTTTTTGGCTATGTGAGGATACCCCAAAAGCCCTGCTCTGCTGCCTGATCCTGGGGGTGGGGGCTGTTCCTGGGAGGAATGAGCAAAGAACAGCAGGCATATAATCCCAGCGGGGTCAGCCAAGGGGTGAGGGTCATCCTGCTGCCTAGTTAAAGCAAGCAAGCACCTATATTGGGCAGCAGTGATACAGGAAGATGCTGGAGGTGGATTATCATTTTTGTGACAATGGCAAAGGCGTCATTTCATACTGCGTGAAAGAAGACAGTGGTAAACTGCTCCTGTATTTTACTAAGAAAGCACATGGGTAGACAATATAAAGGGACTGATAATATAGTGTCAGATGATGGGCCCTTCAGGTGGGATGACACTCAACATGATACGGAGGAAGAGCTGAGGACCTTTCCAAGTGCTAATAGTATTTATGACATAGCTAGAGTAAAGCCTTTGGGATGTTCCAGTGGGGTTTCAGGTGTGGGTATGGGACCAAACAGCATTGATTACACTTGTGGATGACCTGTAGGGGGCAGTATGGGGGTGGTGCAGCCACCCTCGCTCTCCTTGCTCTCTCAGAGGTTTTCAATACTATCAATCAATGTATTCTTCTGGACAGGTTGGGAGTGGGGCCACTGTGCTGTGGTGGTTCTCTTCGTTCCTCCATGACCACTTCCAGTCGGTGTTGATAGGAGGGGAGAGGTCTCATCTAAGACTCTTCCTTTGTGATGCTCCTCAGGGCTCTGTTCCTCCCCATGCTCTTATTAACATTTATATGAAGCCTGTGGATGGTTATCCACTGGCATGGGGCTAGGTATCATCAGTATGGTGATGATACTCAATGATGCATCTCTACCCTGGGCTAACCAAGTGGTAATAAGACTCAAAATACCAAAACAAATATATGAAGGAAGAATGAACAGGTCAGGAAGGAGGGGGAAAAGAGGGATTCCTTGAAAAGAGACACAGAGAGATCACCACCAAGTATGGGAGTATGCACATGAACCAGCAGCAGGAAAAGCAACCATTATAAGAGGAACGCAACTGGCTCAAGGAGAAGCGGAAACAAAGCTACATCACCTGAAGTTCAATGTTACAAATTTCAAGAGTCTTCTAACCTTAGGGATGGAAGAGAAAAAAAAAAACCCACAAAAAATCAGGAAGAGAACTTTCGCTCTCAGTGAAGAATAAACAACACAGAAGGAGAAAAAAAGAATAATAATAATTTTTAAAAAGCAAAAAGGAACTCCAAACTTGCAGGAACCCTTTTTTAAAAAACCCTAGCCAGGAATGGAACAAGTTTGCCGTATTGTGGGAAGCCTAAACTTATTAAATGACTTTGGTTATTTTGAAGATATTTGCATCCATATAAAAACAGTGTTGAATGAAGTTTTGCAACACTATCTCCGAAGCCTCTCACTTTGTCATCCATGACACTAATAAAAATAATACATCACCAGGGCCAAAAATGCATTCCGCAGCACCCCTGAAAACCTCCTCCATGGGAAGCAACCACTGCTAAACAACCTTTAGAACTGGTTTATACATGATGGACGCATGAAGAAACATTGACCATTGCAATAGTTCTCTAGGTACTAAGTCATAGCTGCTCCAAGGAGTTTCCTTTAAGCTACTTTAACATCCATCCACCCGATTCTTTCTCTTCTGCTTCTTCAACCTTCCCAGGCCTATTTTCTTGTCCATCACCTCCTAGAATAATATTTCTGCATATCCATGACTGTGTCAAAATTTTTGAAACTCCATGCATTTCAAAGGCTTCTCCCCCATGCAGATCCTTTCACAGAAACTAAGGAAACTGCTCATACTGAAGCCCTTTCTACACTCCATTAATTTTTATGGTTTGCCCCCCATGTGCATCTTTGTATGGCGAGTAAAACTATCCCTTCTTCTGAAAGATTTTCCACACTCCATGCATGTATATGGTTCCTCCCCTGTGTGGATCCTTTTATGATAAGTAAGACTAGTGCTAATTCTAAAGACCTTTCCACATTCCATGCATTTAAATGGTTTCTCCCCTGTGTGGATCCTTCTATGGGAAATAAGACCACCACTCTTACTGAAGCTCTTTCCACACTCCCTACACTGATATGGCTTCTCTCCTGTGTGGATCCTTTTATGGGAAGTAAGTTCACCCCTCATTCTAAAGCTCTTTCCACACTCCATGCACTTATGTGGTTTCTCACCAGTGTGGATCCTTTTATGGAAAGTAAGACCACGCCTCATCCTAAAGCTCTTTCCACACTCCATGCATTTAAATGGTTTCTCCCCTGTGTGGATCCTTTTATGGAAAGTAAGATCACGTCTCATTCTAAAGCTCTTTCCACACTCCATGCATTTAAATGGTTTTTCTCCTGTGTGAATCCTTTTATGGGAAATAAAATCATTCCTAATTCTAAAGCTCTTTCCACACTCCATACATTTATATGGTTTCTCCCCTGTGTGGATCCTTTTATGGGAAGTAAGATCACTCCTAATTCTAAAGCTCTTTCCACACTCCATGCATTTATATGGTTTCTCCCCGGTATGGATCCTGCTATGATAAGTAAGTTGGCTGATCTGAGTAAAGCTCTTTCTACACTCCATGCATTTATATGGTTTCTCCCCTGTGTGGATCCTTTTGTGGGAAGTAAGGGAACTGCTCATAGTGAAGCTTTTTCCACACTTCATACATTTATATGGTTTCTCCTTTGTGTGGAGCCTTTTATGAGAAGTAAGCTCGCTGCTCGTTCTGAAGCTCTTTCCACACTCCATGCATCGATATGGCTTCTCCCCCGTGTGGAGCCTTTTATGAGAAGAAAGTGCACTGCTCGTTCTGAAGCTTTTTCCACACTCCATGCATCGATATGGCTTCTCACCCGTGTGGAGCCTTTTATGAGAAGTAAGTTCACTGCTCGTTCTTAAGCTTTTTCCACACTCCATGCATTGATACGGTTTCTCACCCGTGTGGATCCTTTTATGGTAAGTAAGGCGATAATTTCTCTGGAAGGACTTGCCACATTCCATGCATTTATATGGTTTTTCCCCTGTGTGGATTGTTTTATGGGAACTGTTTTTATTGAAAATCTTTCTGCATTCCATGCATTCTTTCAGACTTGCAAGATCAATGTCAGCCCTTCAAGGTAGTCCAGAGAGGAAACCAAAACCATGAGTACTAATACTACCTTTATTGTAAGATTACAGTAACAGACTCTTGCAAGTTTGAAAGCATTTCCCCCCTCCCTTGCCTTTTCTTTCCAGAACACTAGGGAGAGTCCCTTCTGAGATGCTTTCTCCATCCCCATTCCTGCTGCGGCCTGAGACATCTCTTATCTGGCCATTGCCCAGGCTGCAGCTCTTCCTCCTGTCTCCCAAGGTGATTCTCACAGCCCATTACACTGCTTGGAGCCCCTTGTTGGCTATATGAGAAGTTTGTTATTACTGGATGGATTCACCATCTTGCTTATTTTCAAAATGCTCTATTTTTTATTGTGTATTGGTTGTTCTGCTTTGATGCTATGAGAACCCAGAATTGATTCGACTATGTGCTGTCAAATCAAACAAACGAACATGCAAAAAAATATTATTAGAGATTTGGAGGCCACCTGATCCAAGAACAACTCTGGGCGGTTTACAGTTAAAAAATAGAAAAACAATAACAGAAAAACTGAATCAGATATTAGCCAGTCTTGCCTTTCCTAGGGCTCTAGGAAAGGAACTCTCAATATTTCTTGGAAAAAAACTAGAGAATCTGAATATTTCTAATACAAATAGTGTGCCCTGACAGGAGCTCTTACCCAAAGAGGCCATGTTCCTTGAGTTCTCCAGCATGACTTCCCCATGCAGGGCCTTTTGGTAGCAATCCAGCAGCGCCCACTCCCCTTCAGTGAAATACACGGCCACCTCCTCAAAGGTTACGGGGCACTAAAAAAGAAAGAAAATGTTCTCGATAAACGGGCCCTGGAGGACCTGATTTAATTCATCAATTCAAAGGCAGACCCGTGCATTGAAGTAAATGAGCATTTCTTCCACGTGATTCATAACTGCAAAAGAAAACGGACAGACGTAGCCTTTCACCACAAATTCTGATTAATTTTGCTGTTTCTGCCAAGCCTTCAGTACTAGCACCCACAATCTGGATTCTTTGCTCTTTTTGTGGCTCCAACCTTCCCTCAGTGGTGGGGGTGGGGCATAGTTTCCTAAAAAGGTACTTATCAGATGTTACAGCTGATGCACTC